CCCCTCCCCTCCCCTCCCTCATCCCTCGTCCCTCCTCCCTCCTCCAGCATCCAGCCTCCCAAAGTCTGCTGCTGTGATTTGTGGGCTGACTTCCAGACAGGAGAGCCCAGGGGGCCCCAGGGACCCCCGTCTGCTTCCATTTGGGGAGGAGAGCAGTGCAAACCTGTGTTCAAGTCCCCACCCGGCCTTGTCCTCCTGTGTGACCCTGAGCACGTTATCTAAGCTCTCTGAGCTCAGTTCCCATCTGTGAAATGTGGATAACAATGACCCCTAGCTCCTAGGGTGGTTTTGAGGACTAAATGCGATACTTTAATCTTTTGCATAGTTCCTGGGGCATTCTTTTTGCTTCCTAAATAGTAGTGACTTGGAAAACTAATGTTTAAGTCTTTTTCCTTAGTCAGTGGGGGCACCCAGCGCCAGGTCAGAGGAGGTTGGTGGTGGTGGCCCAGCCCAGGCTCCGTGGACGGGGCAGTGTGGTGGCGGCTGGGGCTAGCAGACCTAGTGGGTGAGGGTACAGGCTTTGTAGCCAGATGACCTAGATTCAATCCCAGCTCCACCTGTTACTAACTGTGATGTTGGGCAAAGCACTTAATAACCTCTGTGGATCTCAGTTTTCCCCCTCTGTGCAATGGCAGAAATAATAATGCCAGCTTCACAGGTTATTGTAAGGATTAAACGACTCCCACAGAAACCGCTTAGAACACTGCCTTAGAACCCTTAGACTCCCACAGAAACCCTTAGAACACTGCTGAGTCTGTCCGGCTGTTATTGTCTGTATTATCTGAGTCTGTCCGCAGTCCTCCTCCTTCATCCCAGTCATAATAATAACAATAATAATAACATGACAGCCACAGTTCATTGTCCTCTCACTTACACAATCTCTTAACAAACCCCTGACACCATCCTTAATAGGTGGAGAAACCAAGGCTTAGGAATTCTGGGTAAGGTGCCCAAGAGCACACTGGTAGAGACAGGATTTGAACTCAGGTCTCTCTGACTCCAGAGCCCACATGCATAGCCATTTACGAAGCTGCATTTTTATAGGGACTTCAAGATAGGTGGACACCCAATATGTAAACCCTCGTAAAACAAACAGACCTTGAGGCAGTGGCCCAGCAAACCCTGACTGTACCATTGTGCGGTTGGAGCCTGAGACGCTGGAAAGGCCTTACAGAGGAGGATGTGGCCTGGCCTTGGCCCTGAAGACTAGGTAGGATTTGAACTGGTGCCCTGGGAAGGTTGTGATTTCCGGTGAGGGCAAAGGTGTGGAGGTGGGGCTGGGCAGGGCCCAGGTGGGGCCACAGTGAGAGGCATGGCCAGGGATAAAATCAGGTCAGGTGAGGGGGAGTGTCCAAGTGGAATTCAGGCACAAAGCAAAATGCTGAGGCCCAGGGCAGAATCTCTACT